AGACCTTTTTAATGGGGTTTTTGTCCTTCATGCCGTAATCCAGATCAACCACCTGAATAAGAAGAGATGAAATGATTTATGAGGACATGAGAAAAGATGAAGGGGTGAATTCAGTAAACAGCTGAGCATCTTATTTCAGTGCAAAACCTGCATCTTAAACACCTGCAGTCTAGTTTAACTTTGCATATCAGCCCTGAAATACAACATAACTTACATAAACTGAGAAATCTTCAGCGTTCAGAGAAACAGTCGGGTCTGTACGTTTGTACTTCTCTACTGCGGCTTTCCATGTTTCTGTCAGCTCTTCCTGAAATTTCAGATTTGAGAGGGCTTGTCAGTTTTAGAGGGTTAATCAAACTGTAAACCAGTGTGTTTTTCACTTCTATCCAACCTTTGACATGCTGTTCTCAGTCAGTCGAGCTTCTGCAACAAACTTTGGCAGTTTTCTTCTGACGATCTTGTTCAAGATGTCTCTGGATTTCTTCAGATTATCAGCAGTGGAGGACAAGATCTGCTCAAAGATCTCATCTGACAGAAGAACAGATGAGTCATTATTAGAACTAAATAGGGGTTTCCCAACATCGTCTCATATGTAAATAATAGAAATCATTATTTTAATTAAAAAATATATATTATTTTACATATACTATGTTTTGATCACCATGAATCCCCAAAAACAGAATGTTTAACATGGAAGATGTACTAAAGGCAAAATGTACCATATATGATATATTTTAGCTTCAGCGCATCTTTCAGCTGACCTGTGAGTTTGCTGTAGTCCTCTGCTGTCTTTATGGCTTCAGAAATCTTCAGCATATCTTCAGGTTTTCCTTCATGAAGATCACGATCAGCTCGTACGAGCGCTTCTGCAAGCCTAACACAGCGAAAAACATGGGAGTTAGTGTTTGTTTTAACATGCATAAAGAACACAGCCACAAAGCTACATTTGTATAATCTTCCTAAAAGAAGAATTGGTCATGCAGCATTTTAATATCATGGCAGCACAGACGTGACATTCGCTGCTGTTTGGTATCTGCAGGTATGTGTTTTATATGCACATCCTCTTCATGCTCAGAGAAACTCACATGGTGTCAATGATGTAGCCGATCTTGTGCTGATAGGCCTGGCGATGAGTGTATCGGGGGCGAAACATGTCATAAACATTATCAGCCTCCTGTTACACAAACATCAGTGTGTCAGAGATCCCATAATGCAGTGCTCACATTAAATCTCACATTTATGTCAAGCATGCAAAATATGGGCAAAGTGCACACAAATACACACACAGACAATTCTAGCGCTGATAACTTCATCATAAAATTGAAACAGTCAACCAAACATTGAAAAAGTTCCACGGGTCACTTTAAATTGACTGTTGTAGGGCTGTCAATCAGCGTAACATTGGTGTTTTTCCAAACATGTGCGCATGTGAAGATGCTGTTCTACTTGGATATTCGCACACGAGTAAAGTAAAAAGCCTTTTTTACAGAATAAATGATAATTTAGCAAGCAAATGTTAGGCTACAGCGTGAATATGGAAACATATTAGATTTGTGCTTTTATAATAGCCTAAATATTGTTTAGAATGAATGCCACTATAATGTTTATAATGTTTGTAAATGTTTCATTTACCAGTACTTTACATTATTTTTGTGTGTGTGATAATTGAATCAGGCACCTTGTCTCTGAAGCAGATGTGTTTTCTCCCGTTCACTTCACAGACTCGAGCAAACTTCAGCAGACGCTGATGGTCAAAACTGTTTCGAATGCCCAGGTGATGACAGTCCCTGTCAAATAAATATTAAAAATGGGTCATAAATGATAGGATTATCTTTAAACCAGCTTGTTGATGGATAAATTTGTCACACTAACAAATGAACAAGACAGGGCTGAATTAAAGTTGTCACATATTAAATAATATTAATATATGTTTTGTTTCAGCTCCTCTGTGAAATTAGAAAAATAAAAAGTGAATTAAAAAATGTTTTAGCTGAAAAGTTGTAGTTGATAAATTCAGTTCATTGACTTTTCATTGTCTTGATAATCAAGAAAGCACTTCATTTAGAGGCATGGAATGTAAATAATTAAATTAGGTTAAACATATTAACATACATTTTTAGACACATTAAAAAAAATAGATAGTGTTAGTATCTTTGCAAAAGACCTAATAATATTTACCGTGCAAAATAGTCCCATTTGTCCACATCCATGCCATTCTGTTTATTTGCCACAATCTCATACAGGAAGGATTTGTCTTCATCTCTGCCCTCGTACACTGTTAAAAATCGCTGTAAAAAAACGGCCACATTTTGACAGTAACATGCTGTTTTCCTTTCAAACAGTGCATTCTGGGTAATATTTGTCATTTTCGAGAAAGTAGCCTGCTGCTATATATCGTGAATAAACAGCGTCCGAAGTCGACACTCAGAGGCTGTGTTTCAAATCACACCCTACACCCTCATTCACTATTCCCTACATGAGTTTACTAATACAGTCCACCAAGATGTAAACAACTCAACAAACAGCTTTACCAGCTTCACTCATTATTAACCAGACTGACTTTATTTCTGTCAGACGTCTACAGAAGATCTTATTGAGAATGAACAGAGGTTTAGATGATGATGTTTTATTGTTTTGTTTGACGTTACCATTGTGGAGATGAGTCTTTGTTTTAGTTGGACTCCTGACCCTTGACTTTTAAACATTAGTTTTTGTTAGATTGCTATAACTGTCTTTAAGTTGCCATTGTAATAGCAAAATGGTTATGGATGTTTAGGTGATGTTGATGTTTGTTATTTACATATATAACCATCTACCGTACTGACTTAGCGTCTTGCTGGACTCTGAGTCTAATTATGAATTTAATAGTTTTTAATTTTTTGGGGGATTTACAGGATGAGATTGTTGTGACAACTAGAAAATTATGATTTAAAAACAGTTTAGGATTTAATTATTTTTAATTACTATGTCATGAACATTCAAAGAGAAACATCAAGAATCAGTGTATGAATCTCAACAATGGTGACATTCAAAAGCTTCATGCTGCAATGTATGCTGGGTACCACCCATTACTCCCAGCATGCATTGTGGCAGGAATAAATTATGCTGCTGAATTGTCCACTTATTTTCTTGAATTCTTATGTGCTTTTATTTTAGTTTTTGTGTTGAGTTTTAGTAGCATGTTTTGTGATGTTCAGAACTGATCTCTTTATTTATTTTGGATTGTCACCGTTGTTGTGATTCATACACTGATTATTGATGTGTGTGTCCAAATTACAACAAAGCTTTTCTTTTTAATGAGTGATGTGTTTTAACGGTCTTTCATAATCAATTGCTCAGCAGTGCTAGCTCTTCTGCTGTAATACCAATATTCAGTAAGAGAAGAGAAACCAGACAAAACCATTGAATTAAGAATAAAAGCATGATTGATATTATCAATCCATAAACAACCAAACCAGATTTTTTTTTTACCATAACAAACATGTTTAAAAACACATTATTACAGCAGCCAAACAGAATTTCATGTTAAAAAGTCAAGGTTCAAGAGCCCAACTAAAGTAAACACTGATCTCCATCATGGTGGGAAAAAAAACTCCTCTGTAACTCTCAATAAGATCTTCTGTAGACATCTGACAGGAAAAAAGTCAGTCTGGTTAGTAATGTGAAGCTGGTGATGCTGTTTTAGAAGTTGTTTAATCATCTTGAGAGATTTAATGTATTTTATTTCAGTTGATATCATCTAAGGCTGAGGCTGAAGTCAGTTGTAGTTCTTGTGTTTCTCTTTTCTTCAGTGATTCTGCTTGTTAACAGCAGCTGTTCATCACTAATGATCAATCAGCACTTAATTAATCACAGAATTATCTCATTAACTTCAGCACTGCTTCACTCTGTAGTGTGCACACATGATAAGTGTTAATTGAGTAAGAGACATTAAAACACCATACAAGAGAGAGAGAGCAGATAGAGGAGGGAGAGGGAAAGAAAGGAGGGGTGAGGCATATTTGGAACATTCTCAAGACAGAGAGTGTTTTCTAACACATACAAAAATATAATCTTAAATATCACGGATGCGGAAACTGTGCTACTCCACTAAACACTCTCTCAACTGTTGACATTCTTAAAGGGGCAATACTCAATTTGAACATTCAACATATTTCAATGTAAAAGTAATAAATAATCGTCTAAATAGTACACATGCATCAAATTTGTCCCAGCAATGCAAACAATAAGAAACACAAAGATACAAAGGGCAATAAAGAACCACCAAACATGCAATACCAGCATGCAGAAGAACCATTGCAAACAGGCCCTGCTAATATGCTCTACTTAGGGGTAAATAAGGTACAGAAAAGTACCTTTTGAATAGATGCCACTCTAGTGACCGTGTTAGAGTGGAGAAAAAAGGTCCTTAGATATTCACTCTAAGAAAGATGGTTTTGAAACCTTTGTTTTTAGGAGTGTAGTGTATTTTATAGCTACACAGTATACCGTTTAAAGTGTTAAGCGTTACACCTGGCTGGGAAGCATGTGATTGAAAAGATAGATCATAATTTATAGTGTCAGCACATGTTTACTGCATGGAGGTTGTAACACTGCTTTGGAATTTGGTATTGTAAAATGTGCTAAATAAATTTAATTGACTGCAGATCTCTATCACATGCAGATATTTAGGTGATAAAGTGCTTTAGTACAATCTGTGCTCTTTTACTCTGCAGCGAGTGCACACAACAAATAATAATAATACAAAAATGCAATGATGTGCCATAGTGAATGCGTGTTTCGAACATTATTTGCATTGTAGTTTAGATTAGGTCATAGTGTAAACTGCAAGTTTAAGATAGTAAAATAGTAACATTATCAAATATGTTAATGTGTGGTAAATAATGCCGGCAGTCTTGATAATAGCTTATAAAAGTAAGTTCATGATAAAACTCATGAGCAGGACATAATTTCCCATAGAGGAGATTTTCTGCTTCTGTTTCAATGCTTCACTTGCCTTCATGACGTCCTTTGAAAAGTGTAAGGAGTATTTATGCAAATTCTCAGCGCTTTTCATCTGTTTTTTCACTGCAGAGAAAAAAAATGCAATTTTATACCTGTTAGAGAAATATGGAGTTGTTTCAGCTTGAAAAAATAAATAAAAATCTGTATAAATAACAAAATTAATAACCAGTAATATATATATATATATATATGTGAAATTATTACCATGACATTGAATTTGAATTCTGATATTTCTCTAAAATTTTAATTTAAAAAATGCAGCTTTTAAATGTATCAAGTGAAAGCTATATCTTCACTTAGTTTATACATCTCACCATCTTTTGTGCCTTCAGATGCAGACATCTTCTCTTCTTCTCAAGTATCTGGTGATGTTCTTGTGTGTTGTTGGAAATGATGATGATGGTAATGAGGTTCTGTAGAACTGTGTAGAGATTTTATAGATCGAGAGACTCAGCCCACTGCAGCATGTTATCATAGCTTTAAATGTTGAGGGTGTGTCATAATGACTGGCCAGTTTGATCATCTACTGCACTGTGTTCTCCTTTGAGTGTCCTGATGGAAGCATTAGCTCTTACTGGAAATGAACAGCTATTACTGCATTAGATACAGGTATTACTGGAAATGAAAGCTGTTTCAGTTGGCCAAGTGGTTGTCAAGATGCACCTCACTTTCTTTCTTGTTATGGTTATGTTGACAACAATGAATCTGTTAGGCTGTTAAAGGCTGGTGATTTTGAAAATTAAAAATAAACACAGAGATCATATAAAAACCATCAGCAATAAGAAGTGGAGAGATAATGTTGCGAAATATAACACTGTTGAACATAAGATTATATGAGGCTGTCAGTAACAGTCTGAAGCAGTAAAGCTCAGTGTTTTTGCAATGAACATGATTATGCAGTGATTTCAGTTTTATTGCATTTGTAATAAAATTATTTTGTTTTATTTTTAATGAAGAGCAATTTTATTTATTTTTGAAGGGCACATTCATTTATTAGTATTTTTAGGGTGTTATTTTTTTTTAATTCATGTAATTAATTTTAATACATTAAGGTGTTCATTTTGACAGACCTAATTGTACTCAAAAATCTATTTTAATAAAAATGATTACCAATATTATAATACAATAATCTTTAAGTGGAAAACAACAGCAGTGTGAATGTAAAATGAACTGAGAGCCCATCATATTTATCTGGATTAATGAAATAAGCACTATGTTTTTCCTAAATGTTAGTCAAAACTGTAAAACGAAATCTTTCAGAATAAATAAAACGATAAAGATTCCTTGAGGAAATTCCTTTAGGGATAGCATCAATAAAAGACAATAAAGACTTTGGACTTATACCAATCATTTTTATGAGTTAGTTGGGTTGTAATGGTCATTTAAGCACTTCCTCCTCGATTAGTTTCTCATCATCAGATCATTTACTGATACTGCAATACTAACAGTCCTGTCCGCTCTGTTTTGGGAAATTCATATTTTGCTTTATTTAAAGAAACTGCTTGCCTTCGAAAATGAGTACATTTCATGAATGCATTTCATATTTATGCAGTACATTTATTATGTACAGTTAATATGTTTCTGAGCTGTTAATAGTATTTTAGTCTTGTCTTTATCTTTATAAGCCTTATTAATAACAGTCTAATATGAGGTGATGACCTGCCTTCAGATAAATACATCAGGAATTAATAATTAAAATACCATCCATCTGGAAATCACACAGTTCAGAGGATAAGACAACAAAACAGCAACACCCCAATAAAATATTCACGAGGCAGATTAAAAATGAATCACTAAACCTTTATATATATCATAGAGTTATTGTTGACGACCTTCAGTACTCGAACAACGACAGTTGACACGTCACATAGTTACAGTGCATGCTTTCTAAATTGATGTTACATAAAGGTACGACTGACAAAATGACATCAGTGCAATAACACCAACAATAAAGCAATAAATAATAATTATCATTCCCATTGCTGCAGTGCAGTGTTATATTGTTGCAGATCATTGATTACACCATTTGACTGTTAATGTTTTAAATTGACAGCCCTACTTTAGAGGTCAACAAGAGCTGAAGATGGATGGGCTTCACATGTTTAAGAGAACGAGCTGAAGCATTGGACTGGGAGCCCCAATCTGTAGGACTGTGATACTCTTTCCTCGGCTCCAGTAGGTACTCTGCCTCATTGTAGTCACGACCCTCATAGAGCTTCCAGAAACCTCTGCGCACCTTACAGGACTGGACCTCTTTTATACCACAGTCATCTAACGAAGGACAGTCTCCTGTGATCAAGCACTCATTGCCTCTGAACTCTTTCTGATCATAGACCAGAATCTTACACTTGAAGAGGGAGAAAACAAAGAATGTTTATTTTATATAAGTCATAATGTGCTGTCTTAGAGCCATCACAACACTTTGATTATATACAACATCATTATACAGTACATGTGTGCAAATTCTGCAGGAAAGACAAACAGACCATCAACACACACCTTGTCATGGCGCCACCAACCAAAGCAGTTATTTGCATCCTTCTCCTCCTCGTCAGAGTTTTTTGTGTAGTAAACCCTAACATATTCAGTAAACTTCTCCGGCAGCAGACTGGAGACCTGTGATACACGTGAAATCAAACGTAATATGTTGATCAGTCATTACAGATCTAGGAAACTTGCTTTTGACTTTGTCCCAGAATTAGTGGATTGTCTTTTTCTGAGTAACTCTGTATGCAACTTTGAAATAAAACACTGTAAAAACACTGTACAAAGTTTGATCTTTAAAGAAGTTTTATGAACATTTGAATACCACTCACCTTAACCTGACTATTATTGTACAATTGCATTCGAAAAATCAATTGAGCTTGACTCAAATACAAGTATGGTATTTTTTTTAAAGGGGTCATATGATGCGATTTCAAGTTTTC